CTTAAGCACAAAGTCACCTTGAGCAGGCTCCAAGCCACGTCCTTGGAGTCACATGACACTCCTAGTCTCTCTCGTCGCAGCTCTAATGGTGTGGCTTCTTGTCTGTCTTTGAACAAATACACAGCACAGAAAGGCTGGGGAAGGCGCGAGCTAGGTATGTAGACAGGCGGGTGTATACGCAGAAACACACGATGCATGACACATGTGTTTGCATACACATCAGACTTCGCCAGAATGAGTACACTTTTAATGATCATAATTATGAGACAGGATTTCAGGCATTGTGCCTTTTTGAAGAGGTAACCCATATAAATAACCTAGCTGAGGTGCCTGCAAGGAAGGCCTATCACACTTCACACCCCATGCTGGTGTCAGATTCGGGGCCCATCTGAGGTCGACAGACGCTGCTGTGTTCACTAAACAGGGACTCGTGCACGACTGTCCTTCAGTAACTAGTTAGAGCTCGGCAATGCTATTTGCCTCTGCCGTGCTCCTCTATTCCATCGGGAGAAGTCCACCAGTTCTTCCAAGCCTCAGTGTCCTTTCACTACTGGTCTCCTCAGGAGCAGAGTCACAGAACAGATTCTTAAAGTCCTTGTGCAATGCCCCCCCCCATACACCCCTTTTCTTAGAGCTTCCTTTGTATGTTATCTGTCCCCGCACTTAAACATCTCTACCTGGTATTTCGTTCTTTACAAATTGATTTTGTCTCTCCTACTGGACTCGAAACTCCTCGAGGGTAAGACCTGTGTCACCTTTCTTTTCATTTTCCTCAGCATCTATTACTGTTTCCAGAATGCTGGAGATCCTCAATAAATATTCATCGGATGGGTAAATGAATAATGCCCAAACGTCATGGTCAGGAGAATCTTTGTGGCTATTTGTCACATTCAATAATGAAACCGCCACATCTAGAAGATGGATGGGTTCCTAAATACAGCTGTAATTTCCTAAGCAGGGTGGATTCTGCTCCTGATTTGTGAAAGTTAACCACCACCATGTTGTTCAACGTTGTGAAAGTGTAAAAGCACACAAGCATTTTCTGCTTGATGACTACTCTCTCTCTTCTCCACTCCTCTCTCTTTTCTCCTCTCTCTTCTCTTTTTTGGTAACAGATGTCAACCTCAGTTAGATTCAATTCAACTTATTAGTGCATGGCTTTTAGCCAAAAGCCATTCACATTTGCAGAAGTGTACTATCACATATGTCTTAATAACAGAAATGTGTTTTTGAAAAAAAAAAATGTATGTGCAAAGTCACATATGGTAGCAGAAATCTGTACATCTCCGAGGCTCTGTTCTCACAATGAAAGCTTGGAGATAATTGCTACAGAACATTAACATACAAGTGAAATCCTCTGACACATTAAAGAGCCACAGTTTGAACATACTAATCAAGCTCTGATACCGGCATGGTTCCAATAGACTGAGAATTACACTGGCATCTCCTGTCCTGATCGCTGATTTTAGGAACATTCAATTGAGTCTTACCCTCAGAGGTAATATTTAATGTTTCAAGGTAAAGTCATTAGTGTATCTAGGTACATTATGTGCTTACATTCACTAAGCATATATTTAATTTCTCCCTTATATGGAGTGTAATTAATGTGTACCACAGTTCCCTATAGTGATGAAAGAAGCTTACAACCATGAAGGTATTAAAAATAAATTGAACAAGTGGTTGAGAAATAGGGAGGGGGAGGGACCCTTTAGAGAGGAAAATATACAAAGCAAATGGATATTGTGAGTCACTTGCCATCGTTCTAATTGAAAGCTCACTTAGCCTTCGATCTCGGGAAGTAAGAGGATTTTAGAAAATGCAGCTGTCTTTCACAATATATACATCTATATGCAACTTGAGAGACTAGAATGTGTTTGCTGGTTTCTGAAGCATCACTGCCTTGTCAAAGGAGCTCATGTCCAAATGATTTTCAGAGACAGTAGATTAAGAGTAGTATCTTTGCATTGAATGTGAATGGCACAGGGAATACCTCTACCCCACCAAGTTCTGGACATGTGATAAGGGCTTAGTAAATGCTCAATAATTGAAAGGTCAGAAATAAAAAGGGGGGGAAGAGGGTAATAGCTCAGCCTTCCTGGAAAAGTTTACCCCTTATTTTACTTCCTGACCTACTAGAGCAAAGGTCATTGAACTTTCTCTGCCAGTGATCACATCATACACATGCCTGGCTCGGTGGCCCCTGTAGTCCCCACTCAACCATTCAGCTCTGCTATTGTAGCAGAAAACCAGTCATACACAGTATGGAAACAAGTGAGTGTAGTTATGTGCCAATAAAACTTTATAGGCACTAAAATTTGAATTTCTATAATTTTCACATGTCACACATTGCACAAAGCATTCTTCTTTTGAGTTTCCCCAATCATGTGCCAAATTCTGCACCAGAGCATGTCATCAAATCGCACGTCTAATCATCTCCACCAATTTGTGTTGGGGATGAGGCTGGAAATGATGCATCCAGACCTTTGCTTTCCAGGCAAGAATGCATACTTGGTATTGTATGCTCAAACAGACAAAGAAATGTTGATTGCTGTGTGCAAGATAAACCCAGTAATTGATCAGATCCAAAAGAGCGAGAATGCACCAGAACAATGTGAGGATATTCTACCTGTGTCAAGACTAGACGAACAAGGATGGAGCCACTTGGTGGGTCACAACACACGGGCCTTGTGACTTGACACTCACAGGCTTACTAAGTCCCTGGGGCAGCTTCCTGGAAGTACTGTTTCCTGGGAGTTGTCCAAAGTGTCTGCTTGTTCACTGATTCAGAAAACATGGATGGAACCCTCAATGTACTTGGGGATCCCAGAACCACAACAAAGAAAACCTACAAAAGCCTTCTGCCTCAGCCCTGTGCTCACACACTATAAGTGAACCATGAGCTAGACCTGAAATTCGTGGCCCTGAGTTGAAGTCTTGGAGGTGCCTCTTTTCTGAAAGTGTCTGGATGGAGCCAACTCACTGGACAAATGAGTTGGGTGTGGGGCATCCCAAGTGTGACAGAACACCCAGACTTGCCCTGAGGAGAATATCCTGTGTAAGTAGAAGAACATTCTAAACACTGACCAGTGGGTTGTGACGAGGTTTATGTCTAAGATTTTAAAATATATTTAAGAATTAAAAATTCCATATTCAGCCCTCCCTGGTGGTGCAGCAGGGTAAAGCACAGCACTAAGAAGCTAAAGACACTTCAGCATGAGTTTAATCCCTGCCCAGGAGGTGATCTACATGGTGCGGCAGACCTCTCCTGACCCACCCGCTGCTCCCCTCAGCAGTGTACTTCTACCATCTGCCTGTTCTGCTCCCCACTCTGTCTCTGGTGAAGCCTCTCACCATCCCTGCACCTTTGGCTTGTACCCTAGTTCTGTGTGCATAAATACATATATATATAAATACATATATATTTTTTAAAGCTCCATATTCTATTACTAATTCTAGTCTTCTGGTTTTCTCTTCACAATATTCCTGAAAGTGTTAGACCTCAGATAGTGTCTGCACTGTGAATGAACAAGAGTTTGTAAAAAATGTAATTATCTGCTGGTTGAACCCTCTCAAGGAAAAAACTGGTCCTGTGTGTGGCGCCTTAGAATAGGGCTTAATACTACCCAGTTGCTGCCCGTGGGTCGCCTTGTGCACACAAAGCTGGGACCTGGGACTGACCCTGGTTCAAACTGGAAGTGAGTTGATGGACTTTTGACACACACAGAATGCCCCCACATTTGCTCTGGTGCATTCTCCCTCTTTGGGTTCCGGTCTGTTATTAGGTTGATCTTGCACACGACAATCAACATTTGTCAGTTCCTTGAAGCCGGTTCCTTGAACCTGGAGATGTCTGTCCCACTGAGGGTCTCGTTTCCAGTCTCCCAGCCCTGGTTCCATCCCTTCTGAGCTGGGGCACACATCTGCACGCGAGTAGACTGGAGGACAGGGTGAACTTGCAGTTAGCTAAGGCCATCACTATGGTCTGTGGCCCTGGTGTCATTAACTTAAGTCTCTAACTCAGAGTCATCTGCCATGGGGCCAAGGCGAGAAACCTTCTAGGCAGGCAGACAGAAAAGAAATCAGACTGTAGAGGTCTGAACCCCAACCAAAACCCCGGCCGAAAACGCCATAACTAAAAATCCTCTTGAGGCACAGTCAAGTCCAGAGGCTACCGAAGCCAGATAAGGAATATCCTGTGGCCAAAGAAAGGCCAACACAGAGTCCACAAAACTGGGGAAAGTTAATTCTTTTACAGAGCACAGCAGCCTCCTGCCATGCATGTTATAGGGACTGCTGTCCCAGGAGTTGCTGGAAAGGGACTTCCCACTTCTGCACGTGGAACTCCTGGAGACGGAGCTGGCGGACATAAACTGAGCGCAGTTCCCAGACACGTGATATCACCAAAGCTAAAGCCACCCAGCAAACAGAGGTGTTCCCTGCACCAGCTGGCTGCCGGGCCTGGTTGGCGTCCACTGACCCAACTGGCAAGACAGGCGTGTTTCTGAATTCGAAAGGCTCCCTTCCAGGACGAGACAGGGTGTGTAACACATCCTCTATCTAAAAAGAGTACTGTGCGCCTTCTTTGTAATTTAAGTGCCCCATCAGCTGCCCTGGAAACAGGTCTCTGTTAGCTGGGAAAAGTTCACTGAATACATTCGCATGAGCTTTGCGTGTAGGGGCGGGCTGGCGGCCACAGGCGCAGTGCTCACAGGACTCTGCCTCAAATGTGAATACGATGGCGTCTGGCATCTCTTCCTGGAGGCACAGATTAACTAACATAAAGTGGCCACGCCCGGGGCTCTCTTCATCAGCCCAAAGAGGGAATAGGAGAGCCTGTCACTGGTCGCTGGAGGCTCTTTGTTCTTTCTGTGCTTTCTTTAGCTTCTCAATTGTCATGCACACTGCCTAACTTCAAATCTCAGGTCCCTTTCATGACCATTTTTCACATGCAGGGAATCCATTCAAATTAAAATTCCGAATGAATAAAAAAATGAACTTACTTCACAGGATTATTCTTAGGCTTTGCCTTTTCAACAGCCTGTAAATAGAACAGAAAAATGCAATTAGACATCAGTCGGCGTAATGTTTGCAACGAGTTACCCAAACTGTCAACAATGTAAAAGTCTCTTCAGAAAACGAAGGCGGCTGCAGGAGACTGCGGAGGCAGAAAGCCACTTTCCTGTCCCTGGGATGTGCTACCCCGTGCAGAGGCAGCTTTCAGACCCTGTCAGGCTGCTGGGGATGCGCAGGGGGGCAAGGCCTGAGGGTCTTAGCTTTTCCCTGAGTCCTTTCCAGGGGGCTTGATCGGGCTGCTGCCTGGTGGTTGCCTGTCTGTGCTAGGCTCTTACGAGGGACGCTTCAGCCTGCGTCACAGGGAACACCTGGCCGCACCTTTGCCAGGACAGACCTGCTCAGGAGGCCGATTCCAAAATCACTTTTATTAGCAGACACCGGAAAAGAGCAAGGGACAAGCGAATGTTCGGATCCACTTCTGCTGGGGAACCTTTAAGAAAACAGATGCCACATCACCAAAATGAGGGAACCTCCACGCCTCAGCCTGTATGGCCTCAGATACGGCGCCTGGTTCCAGTGTATTGCTGAACTCATTGATCTGTATTCAGTCCATTTATCATTCATGAAAAGAGCTAGTGATCTTCACAGTATATTAGAAGAAACAACTCAGATCATCTGTCAACAGCCCTCTTCTTTCTGTTTCCCTCTCCACAGGGATTGCATCTCCTTCGATTCTTCTGGAATTAAAATGTTGCTAAGCAACACAGCTGGGGGCGCTGATGGCAGAAAGACTACAGTCTATCAAAGTGTTTAAGCACCTGGAGGGTTTTAGTGATGATTTTTTTCATACTTCTGTAGCATAATTAGGTAATCAGAACCAAACTAGTGCTGCCCTAGACTTTCTCAGGCGTTAGAAATAACATAGAAGGCAGGGAGTGGCGAAATAGAGCTTTGACAGTGCAGGGGGGTACAGGCCCTTTCAAAAAGTATCCATTTGAACACCTTCAGATTTCTGACTCTGGAGGTGGGTGAGGGTTTAAGAGATGAGGAGAAGCCGGCTGGCAATCATAACGCAAAGGAGACAACGTGTCACCTAACACTGGACATGGTACTCTGGGAGGCCACTGCCCGAGCATACGGAACCCTAAGCAGAACGACTCAGCGCCCTTGCAAGTGATTACCTTTCATGATATTTTTTATTTATGCACGGAAAACTGGGGTACAGGCCAGAGGTGTGGCGGGAGAGAGATTTCACCAGACATAGAGCGGGGAGCACAACAGCAGGTTAACTGAAATCCACTGCTGAGGGGGCAGCAGGGAGCCAGGAGAGGTCTGCTGCGCCCTGTGGTCATTCCCTGGCCAGGATCCAGCTCAGGCTGCAGCAGTGATTGTGCTGAGACTTAACTCCCAGGCCATCAGGGAGACCCTAGAAGTGCTTACTTTTTAAATAAATGAGACACTTTCCAGCTTCAGGCATCAGTGCTGGACACCTATGTCCTTCTCTCCTTCTTCTACTGTAAGATACATGCCTATTCATATCTGGGCACTTTCTCTGGCTTGGTAGTCAAACCTCATGTTCTTGGACCTGTGTGTGAGGTTGGAATTTGGCAAGTGTGACACTAGTAAGAAAGGGAGGAGAAGCTGAAGAAACCAGGTGAAAATGATAAACCAAGGACTATGTGTGTTCTGGGGCCAAGTGCCGTCGCCACGAGGCCCGGATGTGAAGGCCTGCCCCAGCAGTCTGCCTCTGTATCCTTTTATCGCCTCCCATCCTGGATGCTTTGTAGTAGGTTATGGTGGCACTGGAGGATGCCACTGTGGAGCGCACACGGATCTCCTTTGCCCAACCCTTTAAATGCAAGCATCTGTTCTGGCAGACTTAGCGCACACAGCACATGGCACAGTGGCTTCTGGTTGCGGAAGTCAGGGAGGGCAGAAATCAAAGTGACTTAACCTGGCTTTGATTCGGTGACATGATGTTTTGAAAATGTCATCTCCTCTATGCTTTGGGACTACCAATTAGACCCAGTAATTTTACTTTGATCAGGAGGAACGTAATCATGTTTGCGGCCAGCTTCTTTGAAACTTAGGCCTTTCTCTACTTCATTCAAATTATTTTTTTCTGGGTGGCTGGGCTATTGATTGAAAACGTCTATACCAAGAGGTTCTCTTCTCTTTGAAAATTAACTCTGGACCATTCCAGAGCCCCAGCAGCTCATCACCTTTAATCTCTAAGCTAAATGGTCACAGAGAGTCACTGGCAGACCTGGCGCATGGTCACAATTTGTGCCCTTCACGTTCGCTGTAATTGGACTGTTCTAGGCATGCTCGAGACAGTATTCAATTAAGAGACTTTGATGGCAAGTTGAGCACATTATTTGTATGCAAACTATCTATGCCTTTAAGGTCTAAGAATCAGTCTGCAAAATATACGGGAGAAAATTCCACTTTCGAAATTATGGGGCATGAAAGCTAACAAGCTGGCAAAAATAACTCTTTGACTTGGTGAAAAATAGATGGCCTAGAAGAAGGAAGGGAGCAGGGAGGAGGTTGGTGAGGGAGAGAAGGGGCAGGGAATGGACACAAGCTGGGAGACAGTGGGAGTGAAGCAGGTGCACACATGGAGGGGTGAAGCTGTACCCCCAAGTCATACAGTTATGGAAGCAGCTGGGAAATTAAGAATATTTGAGGGGGGGGGGAGAAGAAAATTCCAAGTTCTACATACATGTGCCAGAATGTGGGGACCTTGCGAAAGGAGAGAAATCAAAACGAAGTGGCAGGGTATGATTCACCAAGCTCAAAGAGGGTGACATTGGGCTGACAGCTCACTTTGAGTTTAAAAACATATATCAGTGCAATTTCAACTGATTGGGAAATAGGGGCTGGGCCGTTACCAGATATGCTGCTAAGTTGTAGTATCTCTATACTTTCACAAACCTGTATTCTACAGATTTTGCGCCACGATTCCCTATCACGATACCCAAGCATGCCATGGAGGGTGCTCTAGCATCACAAAGGGCGACAAGGGAAAGCAGAACGTGCCTGCGTATACAATATGGTGCTGTGCGAGGCCCATGCCTGTGGTGGGCACCAAACTGCACAGCGCTGGCTTCCATCCCAGCTTCCCTGCTCCCGGTCATAGCCTCAGCCAGAAGGCTGCCACCGCTGAGTCTGCCTCCTCACTGGACAAGTGCTGACACTCACTCTGACCCCATATCCATCAATGGTGCTTGTGAGCAGCCACCGTCCTCAACAGCGCTAGAAAGCTCTGTGGTTGTCCTGGCAAGGATTGGGGTACACTCTGTGCCTCTCCCCAGAGAAGCAGCAGTTCTGGGGTGAATGGAATGCTTCTGTCCAGCAGGAGGGGACCCCACCCCCTTCACATTCACATAAGCCTCTGCTCTGAGCCTTCTCAGGGACTATTGGGGAGGAGGAGACTCCTGGCTCCCGTGGTGCACAAGTGCACCTCTTTCTCTTGTCCTCAAAGCACCCTTCTCCAGCACGTTGTCTCACCCCTCACCCTATCAGGTGGGCCCCTGCTCACTAACACTTGGCCATGAGCTTGGGAAGTCCCGAGGCTGCTAATGCGGTGAGCATCCTCTGTGTTGTGGCATCTGGGCAATTATATTCCCAGGAAGAAGGCACTTCTCTCATCCCAAGGAGTGTTTATGAGCTGACTCTTCTCTCATGACCGGCAGTACGCCCTTCCTGGCACTCTGCTAGCCAGCAAATTTATGTTCTCAGCAGGGCCGAGCCAACTAAGGACAGGCACGTAGTTGCGCATTCACTCAATCTATCTTCCCAGGAATAAGGAGGACTTTGTCTCTCTTATTCAGACAATCCTTTCACTGCACCGAAGCTGAAGTGACTCGGGGCCACGTGGAATGACATGAATTATAAGTTGTAGTGTAAGCGTACAAAAGTAGAAACACTGAAGGAAGGGAGGGAGGGACAGGGAAGGCGGCAACAGGGTGCGCCCGTCCTCCGCAGTGTACCGAACATCCTGTTTCTGCAGGCAGGGAGGGCTGCAGGTACTTTATGGTCTTTTCTTTTCTTTTCTTTTTTAAAAGATTTATTTATTTATTCATACAGAACTGGGGTACAGGCCAGAGATGCGGAGGGTGAGAGGCTTCACCAGGGACACAGTGGGGAGCAGAACAGGCAGATCGAGGAAGCACACTGCTGAGGGGAGCAGCGGGCGGGCCAGGAGAGGTCTGCCACGCCATGGGGTCACCTCCGGGGCAGGCGGGAATCGAACTCATGCAGAAGTGGCTTTAGCTTCTCAGTGCTGTGCTTTAACCCGCTGTGCCACCAGGGAGGGCCACTTTCTGGTCTTTTTCGCCAACCTGGGCAAGCTTCCTCAGAATTCTGCCCCAGTGAGCACATACCCTTAACTCTTATTCCAGCCCAACAGTAATTTAGACAGTCTACACATCACTGAGAGAATCTCGGGCTTTTAAGAAGCAAGCTGCAAACTTATCTCCAGACAAAGGCCATTGCTCCCTGCATCAGGAAACGTAAGAAAACCAACCGCAGCAATCTGTTTCCTGTTTGACACTGTCAAAGTGAGCAGGTGGACGCTGTGAGACAGTGGAGTAGTGGACCCCTGGCAAGGCTCCGGGTTACGTTTGCAGGTACCTCTTTCTCTCCTAATCAGTGATAATGCTGTCGGTCAAGCATAAAATGGGATTCTGGAAGCACTGCTCCACGTGCCTCCCCAGGTCCTCGCTGGCACTCTCCTGGCAGAGACACCCAGCTGCGTGTATACACCTTGCTTCCTGATCTATTGAAAAGTCAATCACTCAGAAAATTTCCAGTCTTCTGGAGTCAAGAGAGAAGACTCGATTGCCTTGGTTTTGTGTTTCTACGTTTTACCTTTTTTCTTTTCTTTGAGTTTTCATGGTCTGTTCTGTGTGGCGGGAACATACCTTCAGTAGCTCCATGTATTGGTAAATTGCATCGACTACCTAAGTTCAGAAGAGAATGTCCTCTATCAAGAACTGAACTCATCATCGGTGTATTCAG